TCTCGCCCGTCAGCAGGGTCACCAGGCCGCGGTGCAGGCGTGCGTCGCTCCATGTGAAGCTGGGGGCACGGAGCGGGGGTCAGGACCTCTGCGCAGCCCGAGATCCAGTCCCCATCACCCGTCCCCAACCTGCTCACAGGGCAGGCTGTGTGACCCGGCCCTCAGGAAAAGCGGGCCGCCCTCTGGCCTCAACATCCCCCTCTGTAGAATGGGACCGCCTTCCCTGTGAGGACAATGCATTAAGAAAGTTAAATGAGCCCTAGCTGGTGTGGCTCAGTGGATAGAGCATCGGCCTGCGGACTGAAGGGTCCCAGGTTCGATTCCGGTCAAGGGCATGTACCTTGGCTGCGGGCACATCCCCAGTGGGGGGTGTGCAGGAGGCAGCTGATCGATGTTTCTCTCTCATCGATGTTTCTAACTCTCTATTCCTCTCCCTTCCTCTCTGTGAAAAATCAATAAAATATATTTTTAAAAAAAGAAAAGAAAGGTAATGATCATCTGAACTCAGACTTGACTTTAAACCTGGGCTCTGCCGGTTCGTACAGGGCTGCCTCGGTTTCCCCCTCTGAAACGAGATGGGGTTCCTTTTCTGATGCCCACAGGGACCGTTTTGAGACGCGGCTGCTTCCTGTGGTGACCCCCATGTGCTAAGCGCTGGCTGTGTGCCAGGCTCCGGCTGCGCCTGCTCCGTGTGCCCGTTTGCTCAGCTGGAAGCTGGAGCTAAAACGCAGGAAGATTCTAGCGAGAGAACATGGGTCGAGCTCCCTGCATGGTGCCCAGCACGTGCCCAGCGCTAGAGTCTGGGATCTGCCGTGAGCCGTGCCCTTCCCAGTCCTGCCATCACGGCGCTTGCTATCTAAAGCACTGGGCTTGCCCTGGCCAGTTTGGCTCAGTGGATAGAGCATCGGCCTGCGGACTGAAGGGCCCCGGGTTCGATTCTGGTCAAGGGCACATGCCCGGGTTGTGGGCTTGATCCCCAGTAGGGGGTGTGCAGGAGGCAGCTGACCAATGATTCTCTCTCATCATCGTTGTTTCTCACTCCTTCTACCCGCCTCTCTGAAATCAATAAAAATAATATTTTAAACACTGGTCCTGCACACAGCAGGTGCTCGATAAATGCCCTCTTTGGGATTAAATAAACCTGGGTTCTAATCCTGGCTCTAGGGCCTTGGACACGCCATGTTCTCCTCCTGAGCCTTGGTTTGCTCATCTGAGAAATGGGCTCGCAGGGGCACCCGGCAGGCACAGCTCCCGGCACCCTGGGCGGGGTGGCTGTGACCTCGCTCCCTGGCAGGTCAGTGGGCCAACCCGCTCCTCAGATTGTGACACCCTCACCCACCCATGACCTCACCCCCAGAGTGGCCAGTGGAACCCTAGGGGGCTCTGTGAGGTCACCCCATTCCGCTCCACAAAGACTGGTCAGACAGCAGTGCTGGCTGGTCTCTGTCCCGGGGAACGCTTCTGAGTCCCTGGGGCTGGAGACTGTGGTCACGACGAAACTCCTGAGAGGGACACGAGGGTTGGGACCCAAGGACACCCCAGCTGCTGACCCTGAGAGGCCAGACCAGGGGCAAAGGCCTCGTGGGCATGCGGAGGTCCCTCAGCTGTTCCGGGAGGCCCCCGACACCCAGGGCCCGGCTCGGGCCCTGTCCCCACCGCCAG